GCCCTCTGCACGTGCGCAGAGGCGCCCTCCCTCCCCTGCAAACACGCTGATCCCACTCACCGGCGGGCCTCGGCACGCTCTGCATTGAGGAGGAGGCCGCTGAGGCAGTGCCAGAACGGGAAACGTGTGAGCAGCACCGACCCAACCCGCATTAGCAGCCGCAGCGCCCCACGCCGACGCCGCCCGAACCCCCCATTACCCGCCGCCATCTTCCTGGAGGGCGGAACTACTGGCACCTTTCACTGCCACTGGCCGGTCTGCTCCTGGTCCGTCGCTGCGTCGCTCCCGCGGACGTCCTGTTCCCATAGTTTTCCGTCGGGAACTCGACTCTTCTATACTCCTTACCTTACCCGTAACAGCGACACCTTGTGTCCGCCATTTGAAGCTGCCGCCTCACAATTATTTTTTTGACCTCTCTCAAAACTTTTGTGCCGTTTACATTGCAGCGTCTGAGTTACGACCGGGAAAGCTGCAGCGAGAGAGGGTTCACCAGTTACGTGATCCTCGAAAGGCACAAACTTTTGTCATTCTCTTGTAATAACTGTGTTGCGTGCAGAGTACAAAGTCTCTGCCTCCACGAGCTTCCACATTTACCGGCAAATATAGTGGAAACACTGTATTTTGACCAAACTCCGGGACTAAACAACAACAACAGTGGAAACAACACGGGCAGGCACGGGAAGGTTCAGAATAGTTTGGAATCGTGCCTTTGGGATCACAATGGATGCTTCACAAAAAGGGCGGCGAGCTCTTAGGGAACGAGGAAAGTTGATGGGAAAAGGTTCCACAATCGCTTCCTCTTCCTCCAGAGGAACAAAAACAAACAAAACAAAACCCTAGGACGTAATAATTAGCACTGTGACTATTTGCTTGAGCGTTCTAAGAGCACTTAATAATAAGCTTTAGATGCACATGCATTAGTTTGATATCCCCTTTCTCACAACAACTGAAATCATTTGAAAAGCAGTACATATTCCTATAACACTCAATGCTTTCTTCATAAAAGCCAATTTTTTATTAAAAAAATGTTCCATTCTAGTTTTTCATTCCTGTTTGCCTTCCTTAGCTTGGCTCATCTCTGCGTTTGTTTGCTGTACACATTGCATCGGTGCCTGTACAAGCTGCAACATTTTAAAATGATAATAATAACGTGGGATATGTTATGACACTTCAGAGAACGATATTTTGTAGATAAAGGATTAAAATTTTATTAACCCATTTGCTGATGAAGCCCATTTTTTTCCAGTTCAAGTAAGAATCTTTGCACACCAGAGGCTCATCTGAAGTCACCAAAATTCATGCACCACATTAAAGTAGATGAGAATGATGTGCCAAGCCAGGTTTGCAGCTGCTGGTGCTGTAAAGACACCCCCCTTGAGTAATAAACGTTTTAGAGGGAAAACAGCTTGGGATGCCAGTTTTGGAGTGGGACTTGGGAGATCTAGGTTCAAATTATCACTGAGCCATGAGGTTGGGAGAGAGGATCTTGATCTAGCCCTGGCTGCCAGCCTGACCTGCCCCACAGGGCTGTTGTGAGAATACAGTGGGGGTGAAAGAGACATTCACCACTATGAGCTCATTGAAGGAAAGGCAATCTACTAAATGAATCTAACAAATGGAAAAATAAATAAAGCATATAAGCACAAATAAATAAATAAAGCATATACGTAAGTACAAATAAATAAAGCACAATAAGCATGTGCTGTCAAGTCAATTCTGACTTCTGGTGGCTCTTTTCAGGTTTTCCTAAGTAGAGACTACCCAGATGTGGTTTACCATTCACTTCTTTTGAGGGTGCCCTGAGATTGTGCAGCTTGCCCAAGGCTATACAGGCTGGCTCCACTTGCAGGAAGCACAATGGGAAATCAAACTCCCAACCTCTGGGTCCACCGTGAATATCTTAACCACTGAGCTATCCAAGCAGCCAAAGCCACAGCTAAATGCAACTGAACTTTCTTACAATTCTCTGTATAAAAGAGCATGTTGCACTAAAAGTACCATCATCCTTTTCAACCTTCAACCAAACAAAGCTCTAAAGTGTATGATCCAATTGACAATTCTTCTGAGATGGAAAACAGGGTATCTAACATTAGGACTTCTGTTGGTCACATTCATACAGTGAATTCCTTCAGCTGTCTAATGCATTTACTACTCTTAACTCATGTGCCAGTTCACATGGACAGAGGAGTAGAAGTGCGACAAGAAAAGAAATGTAGCCTCTTCTTGAGGGACATAGACAACCTGACCTCTGACATGTTTAGTCTGAAGTCTGTGTCCCTGTTTAAGAGAGAGATGTCTTAAGTGTGAATATAACTGCTGTTTGAATACCTGAACCTCCACTGTTTACTCAATAAAAGCCCCTTTGTGCTTTCACAGTGCACCTCTGTGCATCATCAAATGTAGCTTTGTATTTGAACGGCTCTTCCTCAGTGAATGGAAAAATTACTTTGGAGGATTACAACTCCCAGAATGAACCCAGTCAGCATAGCAGTTTCCTCTATGTGCTAGGTAAATTTAAAAGGGACTCACCCTGTTTGTACTTAGCAATACCAAAGTTGCTCAGTATCAGAACAGGGACTCAGGCAGCAGTCTTGAGGTGAATCACAAACCACTTCTGGGTTTGTGGGGCAAAGTGAATGAGCAGAACATGAAAGGGCAAACCAGGAGGGAAGGTCAAGGGGTACACAAGAAGTAGAGTGGCCATATATTATTCTATAGTGAGGACAGTCCTCCATAGGAAGAAGCTATCCTCCTTTTTGGTGACTTGTAAGTGGCCACACTACCTTAACCTATGAGTAGAGACTTTGATTGGTAGTACATGGATCTCCATTCTGAAGTAAATCAAGCCTGAGTGCTCATTGGAAGGCCAGATCCTGAAACTGAGGCTCCAGTACTCTCATGAGAAAAAAAAGACTCCCTGGAAAAGACGCTGATGTTAGGAAAGTGTGAGGGCAAGAGGAGAAGGGGATGACAGAAGACGAGATGGTTGGACAGTGTCACCGAAGCAACCAGCATGAATTTGACCCAACTCTGGAAGGCAGTGGAAGACAGGAGGGCCTGGCGTGCTCTGGTCCATGGGGGTCATGAAGAGTCGGACACAACTAAACAACAACAACATGGATCTACTCAGCCCGCTCATGTTTTCAGCAAAATGTCAGAGGTTGTCATTTTGTAAGAAAAGGTGCAAGCCACACTACTGATGAATAGCAGGCAGGATATGACATAGCAATTCTAGATGAACATCAGATGTGAGGAGAATGTCCATAAGAGGACATTTTGAAAGAAACTTTTAAACCATTCCTCTGAAACAACTAGTACCCTGTTTTCCCCAAAATAAGACCTAACCTGAAAAATAAACCCTAGTATGATTTTTCAGGATGCTCGTAATATAAGCCCTACCCCAAAAATAAGCCTCACTGAAGTGAAACCCCGCCCTCCACCATTGTGCAGCAACCAGAAGATGACATGACTATAAAATAAAACATCCTTTGAAAATAAGCCCTAATGCGGTTTTTGGAGCAAAAATTAATATAAGACCCTGTCTTATTTTCAGGAAAACACGGTAGTTGTTTTAAAGCAAGATATTTCAACAAAACTACAGCTACCTCTGTTTATTTTCTTTCCCTATATATTTATTTTCAATAAATTTCAGGAAATACAGGGCATAGGGTGTTTCAAGAAGTTATTGAATTCTATGCCTTATCCATTCATTACCCCTTTCTCTCAGTGTTGTGTCCCAAGGTGGTTACTTAGTCACGGTCTTGTGCAATATGGAGAGAAGTAGTATACTGTACTTCCACTTAAATAACAGTAATAATGTTGGGTTGTGATATTTGCATGTATTAGTTTGGCTTAGCATTTGCAGGTTTAATGCAAAACTGTCTTTTTGTGTGCAAAATCCCCTCTGTTTTGGTATCCCTTGTCCTCCTTTCTGCCCATGGAGCAGAGGCCACCTTAGCCAGAAGTCCAGACTGAAGAAGAGGCCAAGACCGACAAGTGATCTAGAAGCTAGTACAAATGAGCTGACGAAAGAAACAAACTAGCAGAAATAACAGGCAAGCCAGAAATTTGCTTCCTAAGATATTCCATTTCTTTTTGGAAATTGGTAAGCGTAACAGAAAAGGACAAAAATGCTAGGAGAAATTGAAGACCAAATATGAAGTAGACAAGCTCAATAAAGGAAATCTTAATAATATAGGTATCTGTAGTGAGTTACTGAAGGTGGAGGAACAAGGGCGTAATGAAGGAAGGCAGTTGTCTCTCCATCAGGTTTTTAAAGAGAGAGACTGTGGCCATCTGTGGGGATGCCTTAGTGGTTGATGTCCTGCTTCAGAGGGGGTTGACTAGATGACCTCCCGTTACCCGTTTTAGCTCTACAATTGTATGATTCCAGGTCACTCTTCAAAAGCAGCATAAGTAGGAACAAAGTTATTTTATTGGTGTGGATGTGCAATGGCTTCAATCACTTCTGACAAGTCAATTTTTATGCCAGTCTCTTTTCATTTTAAAAAAAATTGTAGTGACAACAAATGTTCGATGAGCACTGTAGCAAGTAATGGCAATTAATTACTGTAAAACATTAGGAAGAGAAATAAGAAATAATTACTTAAAACTTTGTAGGTTTTGCTTTACAACACCATCCCATCCAGGAGGTTCTCCAGTACCCTTCTTGAGTGGGCAGCCTCAGTCCCAGATGTGAAGGGCTACCACCACCTGTAGTTCAGTGGCCCATTACAGGAGGCAGCGGTCCCTGGATGCCAATAGCTCCTGTAACACTGGCTACTTCTAAGAAAAGAGGCATAAAATCCCACCCCCCCAGATTTTCATTCTCTTGGGAATTCACTCTAGTGGCAAACATAGAGCACAGAAGGAAAGCATGTCCTCCTAATGGAGAGGTGGGCAGCTTCTGTTCCTTCAGATGCTCTTGGACTGCCATTCCCATCAACTGGAGGGAGAACATCTGGAGGGAGAGAGACGTCGCTTCCCATGACATGGCCTCGCTGGTGTTTGTTCCATGGCCAGGCACTACAGCCTTTGTCAGGAAGTATGGATTCAGGAGCATAAAGTTCTGGGAAGATGAAGAAGTGGCAGTTTCAGCTCTCTAGATGTCACAGGATTACAGTTCCTATCAGCTTCAGCCAACATAGCCAATGGTGAGGACCTGCATACCAACAACATCTGGAGAACACACCTGCTGACCCCTTCCATAGTGAAAGGTCAGGACCGAATACCGTTGCAGTATGGCAGCCTCTAGTAACTTAAAGGCCTACAGATATCCTAGACTACAACTCCTATGAAGCCTAAACACTGGATGATAGGGTTTGTAGTCCAAAACCTTGGTAGGGTACCAGACTGCCTGACACTACATTGCAATGTTATAACATGCTTGTCCTCTCTTCCCTATTGGCTGCTTAGCAAAGTGGTGGGGGTTTGTTCACTTTTCAGCGTAACTCCCAGTGTAACCTTTAAAAACAAGTTTGCACTCCAAGCACAGATACTCATTTGGCCCTCAAAATGCTACTCTTAATGTGGGCTCTGCAGAGTCCAACAGTCCTAACCTGGTAAAATCCAGAGCACAGAGCAGTTATTCCATGTTGTCTAAGAGTTGTAGTCCAAAAAAATAACTTATTCGTCTAAGAGTTGTAGTCCAAAAAATAACTTATTAGTTTTGGTAGAGTTCCACTTACATAGAAATCCCATTTAATCTTGCCTGTCCCTGGTTCCCACATCATCACGAAGAAAGCATTACAAAAAAATGACAACATGTACAAAGCGCTTTACAATCTTTATCTGAAGAAAGCATTACAAAAAAATGACATGTACAAAGCGCTTTACAATCTTTATCTCATCTGTCCTCACAACATCCCTGTGAGGTAGGTCAGTACTCCTTGGGAATGAAAGTGGGGGGGAGTGTCCAAAGTTGACCCAGAGCGTCCATGGCTATGGTAGAATTTGAACTCTGATCTGAGCTTGGATTTCTAGGCCCTGGCACCTTTCACCACCTTTATAATCTGTTTCAGCCCTAGGAGAGCTGAGGTCATGGCCTACATTGGTCATTGCTAACAACCGTCTCCAGATATATACAAATATAGCACTCATCTCTGATCTGTCTCTCCTTCTTGTCAGTCAATACGTGTAGCCTTTCCCATAAGGTTGCCCCCCAGCATCTTGCAGGTAAGCCACACCTTCATCCAGGTGGGAGAGAGGCACTGTATCTTCTTCACTGATGTGCCACTCAAGCTCTGCCTTGAGGGATGGGCGCTGATTGTCAGGGAAGGCAAGGGAGAACAGCGCTTCAGGCTCGCAGACAAACTTGTACACGTAACGCTCACCAGCCACCTGGAAACAGGAAGAAACACAAGTGTGTTCAGCAAAACTCCCTCTGGATGACCACCAGGACCAGGGTTATGATGTAACATGATGGAAACAGCCTGAACAGTCTGTGATTTCTTCATCTTAAGTGCCAGTTAATGAGAAAGGGGTGGACTATCTGGGGTACTTGAAGCTATTCTCTTCTGCATATCTCTGTACTTATCCTGCAAATCTCTGTAGTTCTACTGCATAGCAAAAGGAATTTTACCAGCAATTCAAAAACACTGCAACATAGCTCATTTGAGTTTTGACTAACAGTTCTGGGAGCTACTGCAAATCTCTGTTAGTTCTACTGGATAGCAAAAGGAATTTTAACAGCAATTCAAAAACACTGCAACATAGCCCATTTGAGTTTTGACTAACAGTTCTGGGAGCTGTAGTCCAGAAAAATAATTTAGTAACCTCTGCTCTAAATCCTAGCAAAAATCACCTTTTGCATGATGCCTTTTTCATAGTAGTAACGAAGAGAACGGCTCAACTTGTCATAGTTCATGGCTGGGCGGTTCTTCTGGATGCCCCAAAGTCGTGCCACCTGGAAGATCCATCACATGTGTAGAGAGGAGAGACAGGAAGAGAGAATGTGGGGAAGCCACGTTAAGACCTTGGTATCTTTTTTCTTTTAAACCCTAATTGGGCCTTTTTCTGGGCCTGCAAGCTGGAGAGTAAGGCTGAGGAAGAGGCAGCCTCTGGGTATGTGCAGAGTGCCCTCCTCCTTTCAGCAATGTCCCGTTGCACATTATGCAGTTCTGGGATTGCCTTGGAAAAAAAGATAATTTTATTCTATTTTTAAAAATTCAAATGAATAAACATTGCTGTAGGGTTGCTTTAAAAGAAAGAAGAAAAGGGGAGTCTCACCTCCTCCGGCTCAATGAGTTTGAATTCCATTCCCCGGCCAGTCCAGGCAATAAAATGGGAATTGCTGGGGTCATCCAGCAAAGCCACTAAGAACTGCCAAAGCTGCAGAGACCCACGGCGTTGATAAGGGGGTCCTTCACGGTACCCACCACCTTCTTGCTTGAGGTCTAACAAAATACAGCAAATATCATCATCTTAAAACTGCAGAGCTGGAAGGGATCCTATGGATCATCGAGTCCAGCTCCTCTCAAGGAGTCACAGTGGGGAATCGAACTCCCAACCTCTGGCTCCGCAGCCAGAGACCCTAAACCATTGAACTATCCATCGCTACTTTTTCTTACAAATCCTCCCCGTACTCAGTCTCAGTGAGACAAGCAATCACTTCAATGTGCCTGGAAATCAAAACTTAATTTCTAGACTTTAATTTTCCTAGAGTAGTATGAGAAAGGCCTGTAAATGGTCAAAACATTGGATATCTATCACTGCATCCAGTACAGTAATAACAAACCCAGGTGATGAGTGGTCAAGGCTTGTATAGGCGAAAACAGGGCCCTCAGAAAAACCTGAGGGATGCTCAGAGTTCATGGAAGAAACAGCATGCTTTGAGGGAACCCGGGGGACCTGGGTTCGGATCTCTCCTCAGCCAACTTGAGTCAGCCATGCTCTGTCAACCTGCTTCACAGGATTGTTGTGAGATTAAAATAGGAGGACAGCCTAGGATGAGATGAGCATTCTGGAGGACAAAGAACTCAGAAAAGTAACTTTTTTTTTAAAAAGTAACTTTTGTGAGTTCAGGGGAAACAGCTTAAGTAACCAAAGGATCAGTCTTGTTAGTGAGACAGTGGAATTTGAAGCTAGAAATGTGCCCTTGTTTTTCCACTTGGAAGGCTCACTGAGAGGATCTGGCCCGACTTTGTAGGAACAAGCACGCTGGTTCAAAAGAGATGGGGAATCTGTTACCCTCCAGATATTGTTGACTACAACTCCCATCATGTAGAATGCAGTCACATCAAAAATCCAACCAGTTCCCACTCCTAGTGCTTTCAGAAAGGGAGTATCTTCTAAACCTGGCCTTTCAAACAGTTTTTATTATTACAATTATTTTATTTATTTTTCATGTTTAAATTGTGTTTAGTTGACTGTTGGCTGGCTTAAATGTTATCTGTTAATAGAAAGGTGGGATTAAAAAACCTAATTAATCTTCCATCAGCATTGGTTATCAGCATAGTCTCTGGGGCTGATGGGAGTTAGAATTCAACAATATCTGGATAGTCATAAACCATAAACTAAGTGAACCTCTGATCTATACAGTACTTGGCATAGATCATTGGCAAGGGAGATGGGGGAAGGAAATGCATAGTACTCCAAGATTCATGCTGATCCCTAATTCTGACCTCTTGTTGGGCCCTATCCTGTTGCTGCAAACAAACCATGTTTTATTTAGTCCTCTGTATAAAATATAGTGTCTAAAGCAACAAACCATGGCTAACATAAACCATGGCTTAGCAAGACATGATAACACAACCTAGAAGTACCCAGTTTCTGATGAGACTTGAATCAACTAAATTTTTCTTTTCTGTCATATTGGTGGTTGTCTGATCTTTGGAGGTAAGGTATTTGTATACAGACATACTACAGGACAATGTAAATTATAGACTAACTTTGAACATAAGACAGAATGGATTTCTGCCAACTCATGTTCTTGCAGACGGTGTTGCAGAAGAAATAGAACTTTTTATGAATGAACACTGGATACAGCTTCTAGCGGGTTGAGATATTATCCCTCCCTTTGCTGTTTAGCTTAAATACGCAGGTCAGGGCAAGATAACTACTGATGCAGTTGAAAGAACAGTTCAGTTGTGTCTCTGACCTTCAAACTTCTCAGGGACAACACAAACGTCATCAGGGAAAGGTCGCATCTGTTTCTCATAATTGTACCCTGTAAAAATGAGAAAGTATCAGAGATGTTTTGTGTTGCCTTTGGGAGAAGTGAGCAAATTATCACTCAGATTGGCTACCAAAACATCTGTTTGAACCTCCAGATCAGTTAAATGTGACAATTGCTCCTCCCAAATTTCCATCTTGGCTAATGCAGCCATTGCTCCTCCCAAATCTCAGATTAGCTAGAATTGGTCCCATGATTATTTTTCAGTCCTATAAAAGCTTCCAGTCTCTCGTGGGCTATACTTGTTCAGCAGTACAGAAACTCTATAGCTGTCTGGGGTGATACATTTTTAATTGCCATTTTATGTGCACCAGGACTGACCTCACAACACTGAAAAAGAGTTCCAGAGCAGTCTTCCCTGAGGCTTGTCCATGGGGTTTTGCTGCCTGAGGTATAATTAACAGTATTTAATACCACTAACTTTCTTGACTCCAATCTATGGAGTCCTGAGATTTATCATTTGGTGGGGGTACTTTGAATTCTATGTTAGAGAATGCTAATGCATTCCTTGAAATGTAATTCTCAGTAGCTCACCAGAAAATCACAGTATTCCATACAATGGAACTATGAAAGTTTAACTGTCACATACGGTATATGTATAACTGCACAGTTTAGGTGCCCTTGTGAACAAAGAAAAGATCCTAAAAAGGTTTCTCACCTAATGTGCCATCAGGGTTGGAATGACCTGGAAATCCCTCCACATTCAGATACATTGAATGGCAGCTTGGAACATCTGTAGACAGATACAAAGCATAGGATTGAATAGAACGAGGCTCTCTTCAGAGGCAAAAAGCTACAGAATACTCTTCCTAGAAGAATAATTTAGCTCCTCCTATCCCTACACTCTGAAAAGTGTGATTTTTCTATACAATTGTTTCTTATTCATTTTCCTGGCATCTTGCTATTATATCACCAGTTCGATCAGTTATTATTGGTGGTGGTACTGTATTTGGATAAAAAGGCAGATAGAATTGCTTTGGTTTTTTTTATGATTACATTACAATTATTTTAGAAGGCTTTACCTTGTTTTTGTAATATATATTATATACTCATTTTGGTGTAAACTCCCTAGAGATTCCATGAGATCAAGCAATATAAAAATGAGGTGAGCACTTATTTGCTCATTCATTCACTCACTCATCTTGGGGGATTTTTATTTTAAGGTGTAATATAATAACTCCTATGAAATATTGATTCAGCCTAAAGGGAGTGGGGATAAGAGAGCAGGGCTGTGAGTAAAAGGTTTGAATCTCAGAAAAGGCGGGAGAGCAGAAGAGGCTGCAACTGCTGTTGCCAGTTGGACTACTAAGGCCCTTGCCAGCTTAGTTTAGGTATCGTTTTTATATGTTTATGTTGGAGGGGTGAAGCTACCTAGTAAATTCATGAATTTTAAATTCATGAATTATATTGACATTTTATTTTAGGGGTTTGAAGACTGTCCTATGTTATAGATACTGAACCCAGTTGAGGAAGATATCCTGGGTTTCTGTGTCTGACTTTGAAAGCAAAAGGACACTTGAACGCTGCAGAAGCTATAAGCAATTCCTGCATCGATGCTGTTCCCAAGGAATTGGGTGCACAAACTCTAGCATTTTCTTGTTGTAACGGTTCATGTTGTCTGTTATTTGAATGAAAATAAGAAGAGACTTATTTTGCAAAATTGTATTTGCTAGATTCATCAACACTAAGCAAACAGCCCCACAGAATTTTAAAAAGTGTTACAATGGCCCAAATAAATTTAGGAAAAATGGTAGCAAGAAGTAATGGACTTTTCTTCCTTCCTCTTACCCTGTTTCCCCGAAAATAAGACCTAACCTGAAAATAAACCCTAGTATGATTTTCAGGATGCTCGTAATATAAGCCCAAGCCCAAAAATAAGCCCTACTAAAGTGAAACTCTGCCCTCCACCTTGGTGGAGCATTGTGCAACATCCAGAAGAAGATGACATGACTGTAAAATAAAACATCCCCTGAAAATAAGCCCTAATGCGTTTTTTGGAGCAAAAACTAATATAAGACCCTGTCTTATTTTCAGGGAAACATGGTACTAGTCCCAGCCTGGCAAAGAAAAGTCCACGTCTTAAGAAGCAAAAGCTCTACTTCCCACCCTCCCCATCCCAATTAGTGGTGATGGAAATAAAGAGACACTAATGTGTGTATTCCTGGCCTAAAAGTTTTAAAGTCAGACAAGCTCCCTGTTTCTTTTTTGTCCAAGAGCTGAGCGTTTGGGACGTTTATTCAAAGAAGGGGGAAAAACAAGAAAAGTCTTCAGCAGTTGGCCATGTGTGGCGCTGAGGAAAAAAGGGGGGGGGGCGGTACGGGGGGGGGGTTTCTGGAAAGCAGCCAGAGGGACGGTGGTTTCAATGAGACACTAAGATGTCCTTTCCATACAGTTCATTCAGAAGCTGTCACTTTCTCCTCATGCCTTTATTTTCTCTCTGGGCGGCCAGCCAAAAGCTGGCTTCCCTGTTACCAGCCAGCGGGGGTGACGTAAGCTGTCCCACAAGGAAAGCATGAGTGGGGCGGGGGTAATCTGACACCTTCCCCTCCCCCCCCACCAGCCCAGTTCCTGGGCCTCCATTTTGTGAATGAAATTCCTTTCTGCTTCATTCAGCAACAGGCTGGCTCAAGGCCAAAAGAGCCGCGGGTGGGTGGAGGTTCAAGGTTATGCAATGCCAGGCCAAGCCCCGGGAAGCCATACAACTAGCTCTCTCTCTCTCTCTCTCTCTCTCTCTCTCTCTCTTTCTCAAGACACAATTTTGCTCATGGCAGTGCCTGTCACTTCAGCACCACCCATCTTTTTTCCACCCTCCTTACCAAAATTGACACCCACCACTCCTAGAAGGTAAAGGTGATAGAATCCTGACCCTCTCTCTGCTCCCACAGCAGCATGCCTGGATCGGATTGAGTGGCAGAAAACAGAAGCCGCCATGAGAACAAAGAGTTCTGCTCAAAGGAAGACAGTAAGATACGTTCCTACGGGGGGGGGGGGGGGAGTCTCTAACAAGATGTAGGAGCATTAAATTAATACTTCTGTGTACCCCCCCCCACCCCCATAAAGCCATATTGAAAAGAGTGACCACATGCAGGCACCTAAAGGATGTCTAAACAAATATTAAGACCCTCACTCATTTCTACAGCTGTCGTACAAATGTTGAGGAGGGTAGTTCGTATTGTTAGCCTGTTGCAGGATAAATAGCAAAGGGCCTCATAGGACTTTAACGATTAACCCTGTGTATTTTTATTTTGGTTGGTGTAGGTTTTTCGGGCTGTTTGGCTGTGTTTGGAACCTACAACAACCATTGGAACCTGGCGTGAAAGCCTTTGAGAATACTGTACATATCGGAACCCGGCGTGAAAGCCTTTGAGAATACATTTATTTTGTTTTGTGTGTTGTTTTTTTTAAGGGACTACTACTACACCATCCAGACTGCCATTTTCAAAGTACAGGAAAACACAGTTCTCCCCTATTAGCACAAACCAAATTCAACTGGAGAGAACTGTGCCTGCCACACAAGTGTTCCCCTTGCCAGAGGGGGAAAGGGGGGGATAGCAACCCTAATGTGACCAATTCAGATTTTGAAAAGTTGAGCATTCCAAGCCACGGACCCAGATAGGCAGACCTGAATGTTGTTCCTCATCTCCATATGCTCAACTTTTTAGAATTGAATTGCTTGTTTATTTTTTTGAATCTTGCTTTTTCCATCCCAAAGCTAATGAAGTTTGCACAGCTTGTTATCAACTAAACAAAACAAAATCTCATACGCGCACCTGAAAGAGACACTTCTTGGCCCTACCTGTATCAAATGCATAGTCCATCTGCTCTTGTTTTATCACCACTCCTGCTGTGTACTGGGAGCTGCCTGTGGTCCCCAGTACATTTGCCTGATCATACATAGGATCATGGAACTCCTGCTTGAAGCCCTGTGGGGGATAAGGCAGGCATGGGGCAGATAATGGGCGCTGGTAAGCAGGTGAGTTGTCTGATCCCATGGCTTGAGTGGCAGAGAAGGACTGGCCTGTTTCAGGATGGACCTGGTACAAAGAGCTAGGAAAAAGACAGAAAGAGTGTGTTGTTTCAGGGGCCAACTAAATAACATAGAAATGACCAACAGCCTGATGATCATCCCCCAAATGAAGAAGTTTAGGAAGAGGAATTTACACACAGCATCCTCTCTTTTTTTCTTAGCATAGCTCTTGAATCAGCAAAGAAAGAATTCAAAAATGCTAGACGGGTTGTGTGGTTAGAACAGTGGTTCCCAACCTTGGGTCCTGAAGTGGTCTTGGACTGCAACTCCCAGAAGTCTTCACCACTAGTTGTACTGGCAAGGATTTCTGGGAGTTGCAGTCCAAGAATGTCTGGGGAACCAAGGTTGGGAGCCACTGGGTCAGAATGTTGATCTAGGACTGGGTTCTAGATCTAGATTCTGTTCCATTCTGAGCCACAAAACTCATGGGCTGATCTTCAATAGTCCTCATCTCTCGACCTGAGCTAGTTCACAAGGACTGTGAACATGAGAAAAAAAATCCGATATATGCCACCTTCAGCTCACTGTGGCGGAATATATATGGAACAAATAAGTAATGGTCAGAATGTTGATCTAGGACTGGGTTCTAGATCTAGATTCTGTTCCATTCTGAGCCACAAAACTCATGGGCTGATCTTCAATAGTCCTCATCTCTCGACCTGAGCTAGTTCACAAGGACTGTGAACATGAGAAAAAAAATCCGATATATGCCACCTTCAGCTCACTGTGGCGGAATATATATGGAACAAATAAGTAATTTAANTAATTCAATAATTAACATCCATTTAACTTCCTCTGTTTATTAACTTTCTCTCTATTCAAGTTGAACCAAGTTTTTGAAAGACAAACTTAAGTCTCTGCTATGCACGACTGAACTTTTCAGGAAGTCACAAGAAGGGAAATGCTCAGCCTTCCAGATATTTTTGGACTGCAACTGCTACCATCCCTCCACCCTTGGATATGCCGTCTCACACTGATGGGCGTTAGAATCCAAGCACATAGTGAGGACATATTTCTGATCTCAGTCATGCTGTGCTGAGAAGGTGCCGTAGGTTGGAAGCACAGAGAGTGGGAGGATTTGACACTGAACTACACTCCAGCAAAAAGAGAGAAGAAAAAGAGAAGCCTGGAAAGGACTCATTATAACTTGAATGAGTGACTTCCAGGAATACCAGGCATTGCTAAGTAGGGTTCAGAAAGAATATTGCCTGAAACTCTGCAATATTTCTGCCAGTTTAAGTTGACAGACAATACTAGGCTAGAGGGACTTCCTATGTTCCTAAAATAGTATTGTATTTAGAGCAAAAATTTTAAAAAGCAATGCTTATTCCCTCTTTTCCAATCTGGAGTTCTTTTCATCTCTCTTTCTCTTGCTCAGGTGGACAATTTCCAGAGGTCTATACGCCACCCATGAGCATCTCTGATCTGGGCTGTACCTACACCACTCCCTTTTTTTCTTTAAAAAAAGAATATTTTGCTGAAAAAGCCTAGGTCCTTAATAAAGTAGCATCCCCAGACTTTGCCTATCCATTATAAGTTTGCCAGAGCCCTAACCTGTGTATATGCCATAGAGGCAGAATTCAATTCTTGTGCAGAATATGAGCATTCAGGGGTCATAAATAACCACTATACCCAGTATGGTGTGGTGCAGTGGTCCCCAACCTTTTTGGGACCTTGGACCAGCTGAGCCTTTGAGAAAGGCACAGGGGGGAGGCCCCATAGGTGTGCGTGAGTGCACGCACATGCGCTCCTGGGCGCATGCATGAAGCGGTGGGGGAGTGCCCACCCACCTGCCGGCACCAGCGTGAGTGCTCCTCCACCCCTTTGTGCATGCACAGGGGCGCCTGCACACACGGGCACTTGGGCACATGCATGAACAGGTGGGGGAGCGGGTGGGCATGCCCCCCTGCACATACGCGAAGGGATGGGGGAGTGCTCACACCAGCATTGGCACATGCATGTGCTCAAAAGTGCACCGGTCCCCAACCTTTTTGGGACCTTGGAGCAGCTGAGCCTTTGAGAAAGGCAGGGGGTGAGTCCCCATAGGTGTGCGTGAGTGCACGCGCATGCGCTCTCGGGTGCATGCATGAAGCGGTGGGGGAGTGCCCGCCCACCTGCCGGCACCAGCATGAGTGCTCCTCCACCCCTTTGTGCATGCACAGGGGCGCCTGCACACACGGGCACTTGGGCACATGCGTGAACAGGTGGGGGAGCGGGTGGGCATGCCCCCCTGCACATACGCGAAGGGATGGGGGAGTGCTCACACCAGCATTGGCACATGCATGTGCTCAAAGCAGCTGTGGGGAGGGGAGCACGTGCAGGGGGCGGGAGGTCTGTCTTCATGGCCCGGTCTGGCTCAGGCCATGGACTGGCACCAGGCCGCGGACCAGGGGTTGATGACCTCTGGTGTAGTGGACACAATGATGGATGAGGACTCAGGAGGCCTGAGTTTGAATCTCCGTGGAACCTCACTGGGGAAGTGGAATTGGTAAAACCACTCCTTAAATACCTCTCTTACTTTGAAAGCCCTATAGACCCACTATAAGTTGGTTCCGACTTGACGGCACATAACAATAAATAATGCTTAACAGGCAGATTTCTCGGATGAGGCAATTTCTTCCTGTTTTAAGTCAATACATTGTAATCTACTCTGCATTTCCAAGAACTGGTGGATAGGGAAGCAAAACTTTTCAAATTATATCTGCCCATTCACTACAATACAGTGGATCCTTGACTTACAGACGGCTTGACTTCCAGACTTTTTGAGTTACAGACTTCTCTGGCCGCAAAATTTAGGTTTGACTTGCAGCCTGAGAATTGACTTACAGACCAGAAAAAAACCAAAATGGAACAAAAACGGCCTGTTACGGGATTAATCAGTTTTCAATGCACTGTAGGTGAATGGAGACTTGACCTACAGACTTTTTGACTTGAGAACCGCCTTCCAATACGGATTAAATTCTCAAGTCAAGACCCCACTGTAGCTTACCTGGGTTCCATAAGGTACGCCCGGCTGGATGCTGCTTGGGCTGGACCATGAGGGCTCGCAAAGTTTGTATCCTGCCTGGAGAAATGTGCAGGCGTCAGTTATGGCAGAATACATAGCCCTCTTTACTCTTATCAACAACCTGCACTAAACCTAGCACACCTTTGGATAGCAGATTGGTTCTGAATTGGCTGTTCAATCTTTTATATAAACATCGTCAGACATGAGCTGACAATAAACTCCATTCCACATGTGGATGTTTATGTAACTGAAACAGCATCATCCATACAACAAAGAACAAAGCTACCAGCCTAAATTCTGATAGTGGACAGCTAATAACAGACCATTGGCTGGATATCTCAGTGGTTTAGAGCCAGAGGTTGCCTGTTCGATTCCCAATGTGCCTCCCAGAAGAAGCTGCACAGTCCTAGGTTTTCCCCAGAGGAAGGGACAGGTAAACAACTGCTGAGTATTCTCTAGCTGAAAAATCCTGAAAAGCATTGCCATATGTCAGAATTGACAATGGCACATCATCATCATCATCATCATCATTAACAGGCCAAAGAGTAGAAAGGAGGAGGAAGAGAGAAGCAGGTGAGAAAAATGAATTGCTTCCAAACTGAAATGTTCTTATATCTGTCTACTCAAAAATAAGCCCCACTGAGTTCAATGGAACTTACGTAAAAGGTAAGCATTTCTAGGACTACAGCTTTAGTCCTCATTCCCATCAGGGAAAGAAACTACAAACATGAAAATGGCAGATCACCATCTGGTTTCCTGGCCTTTGATTGAGATACGTCTCAAGCCGTCATGTCTCAAAACGGACATGGTGGCTTCTGTGCCCCTCTCCACCCTGTAATGCTCTCCTAAATCTTTCTGGCAATCCTAGGCCTATAGAGAAAAAAAAGCAAGGTGGGGGGGTGGGAAGACTAGAAATAGATTTGGAAGGAATTTGAAGTAGGAAAATGAACAGCTTGGAAAAGTTACTTTTTGAGTGAGAGTTCCCAGAATTTAGCAAGCAGCATGGCCACAGGGGTATGCTGGCTGCTATACTGTGGGAGGTATAGTCCCCAAAAGTAACTTTTCCAAGCTGTAGTTGAATGCCCCCTTCTCCAGTGCTCCTGTGAGAATCAGAATCACATTCCCTGCACTGATGTAAAGGTGTTCTTCTCTTGTTTCCAGCCAGAAGATCCCATCATAACCTCCCACACACTATGTGTGGTTTTGCTTTCAGGCAGGGATGTGGAAAGTCCAACCCTTCATATCCAGTTGAACTGCAACTCCCACCAACCCTCTGCCTTGACTTTGCTGACAAGGCTGTTGGGAACTGCTGTCCAACAACATCTGGAAGGCCATACACTCCCCACCCTTGATATAGATCAGCCTCATCCATCTCAGGAGTGGAAAACATGTGGCACTCCAGCTCTTGTTTAATCAGTCCGTGTCTAGAGCATCTACAGCAGGCAGGCATTAGAACCCAAGAACATCTGGAGGGCCACACTTCCTCCTAAGCTGTCAAGCTTTTATGGGAAAGAAGAATTTAGAAGGAAGGTTTAATGGAACAGACAGAGCAATGGCACTATATAGGTGTTTTCAGACCAGGATTCATGAACCTTTTTCTTTCCTGTCAAGCAATGTGTTTCCTCTGGTGAAACATCTCAGGGGCCACAAGCTGGTCATATAGGAGGGGAAAATATCAGAAGAAGGCATAGCAAAAGGAAGTCAACGTGGTGTAGAGGGTAGGACCAGTGATGGGAGCAGAACATTTTCCAAAACACAGGTGTTTCCATGTTCCTTTCTTTTAAAAATATATTGTTTCATAAAGTTCATTAAGAGAAATAGATGCCAGCAGAATATAATGCAAGCTTGGCAGTTTCAAAATTGGAATTGATGTTTTTTCAGGTTATTATCCCTAAGGAGCATGTACACACAGGCAGATATATTTTATTCATTTGAAAACAGGAAGGTAAAATATAGCAAATGCACATATTAATCCAAAACAAGTTATGAAATCATGTTTAGGTCTGATTAGTAGGAAATACCAAACCTACGCAAATAAAATTGTGATTCACTTTTGTTTCACCTTAAGCAGCAACAGAAAATAGAGCTTAATTCTCTTTTCTTGGGTGGGCCTGAAAAGTTTATTTCCTTAAAGTCTATTAAGAGTTTTTGGTTACTCAGAAGTAGTCATAATTGTGTCTGTTAATGAGATGAGAGAAAATCTGTGTGGGTGTTAAATATTGGAGAGAATGGTTGTCTGGGGAGAGAATTAGGGCAAGAGATTGGCTAGGAGATTCTGGTGGTAAATGCACTAAAATTAAAAACTTGCTATGTTGTTGCATGCTCTTAACAGCAATCAGATGTCACATTGTTGTGTTCATTCTTTGGACTTATCTTGGTCTCATGTTTGAGGTGAGCTCTCTTGTGGGAGCTTGAGAATCTTTGATAGAAAGTCTAGCTGTGTCAAGATGGCTTGCCTTGACTACAAACAAAATAATTGCTGAAATTTCTTCACATCCTCAAAGTAAAACCAAAAGAAATTCAGGAGGGTTGTTAAGCACAAAGCATAGAAATGGGGAAATAAAGATTCTTTCATAGGAAACTAAAAGTTGTTGGAATGGGAGGGCTTTTTTGCCATAGAAGTAACTCTTTTCTGCAGCTGAAAAGAACTTTGCTCTTCCTCCATATATGGGGTCATACTATATAGTGAAATCCTCTAAAATACAGAAGGACCCAGTATCTGCTGTGATGTCTTAAACTTGCAGGTATGAGGGAACCCTATAAACAACATACAAGGAGGTGGGACATAGGTCACAAGGCAGCGACCTTACACATTGTATATAATGCTGTGGCAAACCACAGATAAGTGAAACTGTGGATACCGATACTGTGGATATGGGAGTCCTTTGTTGTTGTTTAGTCGTTGTCATGTCCAACTCTTTGTGACCCCATGGACCAGAGCATGCCAGGCCCTCCTGTCTTCCACTGCCTCCCGGAGTTGGGTCAAATTCACGTTGGTAGCTTTGAAGATGCTGTCCAACCATCTCGTCCTCTGGGAGTCCTACTATATAACATTTGGAAAGTTCTTGACTCTGAAGAATGGGAAGCATTGAGCCAAAATTCTTCAGAAAATACTTTTTTGCAGGGATGCATTTTGAGATTTTTCTTGCTCTTATTCCTCCAGGAAAAGAAAGTCATTTTGCAGAATTATCTCCAATTTCTCTGCACCGTTTATTTTTATTGTTATTTTGGCAGTTGAAACCCTAATACCTCCCTCACCACCATGTCCTAGAAAGACATGAGGTGGGCAGCAACGGGGGGGGGGGGATACAAAATGGCAGCCCAGGGACAACACAACTACCATTATCACCACTTGCAGTGGAAGTGCAGAAAAATGACCATCCTTACAGTAAATAAACAAACGAACCTATGGTACAGCACTGCTAATGGTGAGCAGAAGTGGTCAAAGAATTTCTGATAAATGGTTAAAGAATTTATCCTTCTTTTGGATAAATGTGATGAAATAGATTACACAATTTGCTGCCCACAGATACAATGGAGAGCTATGAAAGGCAATTTGTGTGTACAGCTATAAAATATGGATGCTAAGCAGACCATACTCCATTTAGAGCACTGGAACCTAGAATGACTCGATTTCAAATCCACACTTTACTATTCAGTTCACTGTAACCTCACTCTTACTCTTCACTTAACCTACCTCATATGGTTGTCATGAGGACGAAAATGGGGAGGAGGAGAGCCATAGCTGCTGCTTGAACTCCTTGAAGGAAAAGGACAGGACATAAATGGAACAAAGAAATCAATAAATATAGAGATTTAAGGTATTATGCATTCTTGGTAATGTGAGAAATGAAAGATTTCAGAAAAAAAGATTTGGACCACAGTTTGGAGAAGTTACTTTTTGGATTACAATTCCCCAAAGCCAAGAACCAGCATGGCTACCATGACATGGCTGTCATACTGGCTGGAAGATTCTGAGAATTATAGTCTGAAAAAGTAACTTTTGCAAGCACTAGTTAGCACAGAACACTGAGGAATGGTTAAGATAGTTTAAGCTATCTTAACAAGATTGCAGCAGGGAGTCTAAGCAAAGATGAAGAAAACCAGAGAGGAACATTACAAACCAAAATAAGAAGCAAAATGTCCTCCTTATATACCATCCCATAGCACTTAAAGCACTCTTTGGGCAGTTTAATTATGCAGTCTACACATTGGCCCCACCCCCACCCCGGCAAACTGGGTACTCAATTCACCAACTTAGGGGATGGAAAGCCAATTGAACATTGAGCCAGCTACCTGGGATTGAACCCGGATCATGAGCAGAGTTTTGGCTGCAGTACAGCATTTTAACCACTATGCCATGAAGCTCCTCAGTCTTCAGAAAATAAAGCAATGGATGGAGAGGAAGGGCCAATTTTTTTAAAAAATACTATTTTTAGTTAGTTATTGCCCGGGTCCATAGAGAGAAGTTAAACAGCCTGGTGGCACATTGTTCCATATATTCATCTGGAGACAGAAGAACCCAAGATAAGCCAAGACAGGACAGCAGGTTGGTTAGAAGAACATGGTCCATGGGCACAAAGAACAATCGAGAGAGTAATGAGCTCTAATACACTATGTGAATTTTACACATGGACACACATTTATTTTACAATCACCATCACAGTACAAATATTTGGGACCATCCACTGAAAATGAGAGCCAACATGTCTTAAAGAGAAAATGATTTATATAGTGAATGAACTAAAACTTGGAAAAGTTACTTTTCCTAATCACAAGTCCTAGAACCACTCTGCACAGCTACTGGCTATGTTAGATGTAGAATCCTGGGAGTTGTTGAAAAGGACCCAGCAACAGATCTATGGGCTCAAGACTCCCTTGGCTGTTACACAGAATAAAGTCCTTAGGCAGCCAGCTCATCCATTGTCCTCTCAATTCTCTTTCCCTTTCAGAGTAACCAGGGACCTTCTCATTCTATAATGAGGAGAACATTTAGCAAAGTGTGGAAAAGTAACTTTTTGGAGAATATTTCCCGTAAATTTTCTAACCCCCCAGGGGACTCCAGGGAGAGACGTGGTTCAGTTTCTTTTCTGTGTTCTGGGTCTGAACTAGCATGGTACTTCTGAACACACTTTACCAAACAAGAAAGCTTGGCTTAACATGGCTTCTGTCTCCTCCTGTGTTTACCTGGCGTAAAGGCACTGTTCTCCATGGTGGTACTGGAAAGGCTGCCTCTGCCTGCGGGATCCACAGGCTTCTGAACACGGGCTCTGCTGCTCCTTTTTGATCTTAGCTGGGGGGCTGTGAAGGGCCACTGAAAAGCAAAATAGTAACAGTTATAGTCCTTGTCATGTCGGACTATATAGGACTATAGCACGCTTTGCTTTGCCATCATCACCATCATCACCACCACCATGCAAATGTGAGTCATCAAAGCAGATTCATTCCATGTACACATACAGTCAGTTTATGTCAGTGAGGTTCAGGGCTAGCTGTGCCATTAAGCCAAAAAAACAGGATCCTGTACACAGCAGACCTCAAATGACCCATCAGCAGTCTGATCTGGACCCGTTTATGTGAGCTAGGTTCAGGGCCAGCTGTGCCATTAAGCCAAAAAAAAAAAAAAAAAACAGGATCCTGTACACAGCAGACCTCAAATGACCCATCAGCAGTCTGATCTGACTCTCAAAGTGTCCCCAAAGCTACCCCCCATGTGAATCTGCCCCCCTCATGCTCTTCACTCTACATAGAGTCACATTTATTTTTCTTTATATGACTGTATGGAAGGTTAAAAAAAAATGTTTAAAACAGTCATTCCCAGTCTTGGGCCCCCAGATGTTCTTAGACTAACTCCCAGAAGCCTTCACTACTAGCTGTGCTGGCCAGGATTTCTGGGAGTTGTAATCCAAGAACATCTGGGGACCCAAGGTTGGGAACCACTGGCTTAGATAAAGAGCAGAGATTACTGGTCTTCCAGATGCCTGTGATACTCACATTATTAAGTATACTGGAAAGGGCTGAAGGGAGTTCAAGGTCCAAAACATCTGGAGGGCCACATTAAAGAGCAGAGATTATTGGTCTTCCAGATGCCTGTGATACTCACTGCCAACAGTTCACATTATTAAATATACTGGAAAGGGCTGAAAGGAGCTCAAGGTCCAAAACATCTGGAGGGCCACATGTTGCCCACCCTAGCCTTGGGGTTGTCACAAGGGTGGCCACTTCAAACAAAGGACAGGTCTCCCTGCACTTTAATATGTGCGCAAGAGGAAATTTTAACAGGTGTATCTTGCATAACAAGCTACACAGGCTGAAACTAATCCTTCTACACAACGATTAAAGGGACGGGATCCCTGTTCTCCATTTCATGGGGCTGTCCTACTGGTCAGTCAGGTCAGAGTCACTGCTCTCATTAGAGAACAATGGAAGGTGGGAATCATTATTCTCCCTAAGGAATAACTGTGTATGATGCTGGTTATTTTAATTTATATCTCTGCAGGAGCTTGGGAACTACAAGGATTATGATTCTTAGAACTCCTGGCTATGGTGCTAGCCAAGTATTCTGGGATTTGTGATCCATTAAGGCAAGACTGGTATTTCCAAGGTTAGATATTTGCAAAGTAAATGAGGTGCTTTCTAAAATTTAGTAGGAAGACCCCTAGAGGCTAGGAGAAAGGCAGTTTCGGTGGGACTGGAGCCTAAACTTTCAACGCCAGGAACTGCTGCAAGTTACACAAGGCCAGGAATTAA